CGAAGTTGATCAGTTCGATGCAAATCTTGATTTGATTGGGATTAATTCAAAATTATTCTGCCCTATACCTAAGGCACGTTCTTTGTGAATAATGTCTTTCTTCTTTATAAAACTTAATATAATCATCTGAAACAAATGAATCAAACAGCCGAAGTTTTCTTGAACAATTCGTATTTTCTTTGATCATATTTGATTGAATATGTTTAATAAAACATTGTCTTAATAAATAGAGAATTGAATTGCTGCTATTGTCATTGATTATATGTTTTATATCATCGAAAAATAGAATATAATAATTGATTTCATTAGAATGATTTTTAAGTATTAAAAGAATACGTTCAATAATAGAGATAACATGTAATGTATTACCAAAGTACTCATTCAAATTAACATTCGAGTATTGCAGGACAGTGAACAGAAGGCTATCACCATCAATAAAATATTGTGTACTATCACGAAATTCACTATGAACTTCTAACCAGTTTGCTCGGAATGGATATAGTACATCCAACAAAGTCGATTGAGAAATAGAGTGTTTCAATAACAATTCAACGGTGGTTAAAACATTTCTGATCGACGGCAGTACTTTCAACTTGCTNGTTCAGGATTTAGGAGTACATATGTGGACTTTCTGGTGCTCTATGCGGTAGTGTAACAATATCTTTTTTAAGTCATTTTTTCTACTCTTCCTTCGACGGCAGTACTTTCAACTTGCTATATTTATCAACTGTATACTGTGCAGTTTCGATGAGTACTGCACGTTGTTGTTTAGCTTCGTCAACTTCACTACCCTTTTCGTCACTGTTGTTAATTTGTGATAAATCTGAACAAAGTTGTTCTAATGCTGCATTGACCAAATAACTATCTACTTTTTCGTTTTCTAAACATTTTTCTAAAGTCTGACGGTAAATATTGAAAAAATATTTGAATTTTTCAAATAAACTGTATAATAAGCGTAATAAACGTTCCACCTGACTCACAGTCGACTGAAATACAAAAGAAACTAGTCAACAGTAACTCAGCAATGCTCCTTCATCGAGCAGGCATTCAACAAGCTGGTTTGTGAATGCAAGAGCCAGTCGGAAAGATACTGTTAGAAAAGTGTATATGCAACTGACCGCAGGGATTTCTTTGCTCCTATCACAAGTTTTTCTAAGCAAAGAAATCCCGAGAAATAACGAGAAGCAATTATGATAAGATTTGTTGAACTGCCTTCGAAGGAAGAGTAGAAAAAATGACTTAAAAAAGATATTGTTACACTACCGCATAGAGCACCAGAAAGTCCACATATGTACTCCTAAATCCTGAACACCAGTACTCAAAAAGTCCAGAGATCAGTCGAAATTACGGATTTTCATTTCACGGTCTTTTACAGTCGTGTGTGTTTCCCGATATCTTTTACAGGACATTACTTTCTAAAGGCTTTTTATCAAATGCAGAACGCAGAGACGTTTAGGAGTGTTTCTCGATGAGGTTGCAAAATGTAGTCAATGTAGTGGTGAAACGAGCTCTCTATAACTTTATGCACCAGCAAGAATTTCTGACAATTCGATGTAAAAAGCTTCACGTCGACTTTTTTGGAAGTCGTTTTTAACCATCTAAAAAGAACTAACATCTGATTTAAAAAAAACTGGGTCAACGGATTCTTGTTGAAGAAATCAAACTTTCAATATAAATTCTTACCGATTGTTGAGTATCATTCTCATCAGTGACAAGGTCAGCTGTCCGTGAGTTTCCTTCGCAGTGTTTCTTCCTGGATCGTGTACTCTGTATAATCGGAATTTTTTTCAGCACCACATTTGTTGATACCTATATTCATTCAATGGAGACATGCGTTGTCAGTATAAGAATATGTGCAGTGAAAAAAGAACTAAAGTAACATCGGTATTAGGTGCGAGTGTGATGCTAACCTTCGGCTGTTCTACTTGCTAAATCTCCTCTGCCAGTGCTATAACGCGGCGGCCCGGATACCGATATCCGAGCTGCTTGTAAACTTTATAAGCAGCTCGAACATTTAAAAGAAAACTTTTTGAAAGAGTTATATGTATATTACCGATTGTGGCAAATCCCCATGTCTGTCATCTTCTTCACTCATTCCAGAAAATGAATCTTCTGAATCCAACACATCTTCACTGTCGTCTTCACTATTAGCATCAAAATTCTGGCCTTCAACATTTTTGTTCACTTGTTCGTATGTATACTTGGTAGGCGCCTGTGCTAATTCGTCGAATTTTTCGTTAATAACTTCTTCGAAGACACTGAGATGTTCTTTAGAAAAGATTTGATTTTTATCATGAATATTTAAATCAATAAACTGCTGAAACTCCAGCTCTCCTGTATTTTTAGTATCTAATAAATAATTCAATCGTTCTTGAATTATCGATTTCATTGTTTGCAGGGACATAACTATATGCAGTTTGGTGTGTGATTTATTTCTGCAGCACAAAAATAAAAAAGAGAATTTTTGTTTCAGGTTAATTGAGCTTTCGTCAAAAAAAACGCTAATCCTACCTAACAGGAAAGCAAACAGTTTGGACATGAAATGGGTATATAATCACTAAGCTACTTCCAAAAAACGGTTTTTTAGTACATAGATTCTGTACATTAGTATGCCAGACAGGGGGCAGTGAGTATTCTTGCAAATTCTGCTGTTTACAAATCCTAAGATTTGCAATAGTTTTGGAACTACTTTCATTCGAAACAAGCCTTTTTATTCAATCAGTGAACCTTTTGCTAACTATGCGAGCAATAAAATTTCAGCAGTTTCAGAAGTGATAGGGCGACTGTATATTCATTTTATTCTCTCCTTATCAGAGATCATATCCACAATGACGTGCCCTTTTGTCTTACATTTCCTGTCCATTCGAGCCTTGTGTATCTTTTTATTCCAGTGAATTTCGTGTTTGCACTCACTACATAAAATCATAGAGCAGACATTATAGTTAGCTGCTCGTCAGAGATGAGAACACAGTGAAACGTTATTTTTCAGCACACATGTGCTATACACTACTGTGCTATACAACGATGTCATCTTAGAATTTTTCCGAAATCGACAGAGTCAAGATGAGGAAAGTGGTATTGGCTACAAACATAGAGGAAACGCTAGACAATTGCTGTTCTCATTCAGTTATTTCATCAATTATTTTACACTAACTAATTGTACTTACAGTTATCATAGCAAATATATGTGATGTGACAGAATCTTTCTTGAATTCTTCGACGTGCATAACCGACATCTAATTCTGCTATCTGTGACTCACTATTTATTGTCCTATCGCAAATGTTTCTTTTCCACACTTTGAAGATAATCTCATATTTGTAAGTATTCGGGAGCTCAGTGACTGACCAAAGCGTGAGATAGGTTAAAAATTTCGTAATATTTTAGTGTGTCAGGCTGAGCACTCACCCGGGATTTAATATGTGGAAGTTTTGCAGTCTCAAAATGGCGTAGAAGTTGTTGAGTTCGAAAATACACTCAGCTAACTATAATGTCTGCTCTATGATTTTAGGTAGCGAGTGCAAACTATAGTGAAGGCATTCAGATTGCCTCATAACAACATTTTCTGATGTACAAAACAAGTGAAAATTCATTCTTATGCTCGTATTAAGAACAAAAAACGTTGTTTCTCTTGAATAATTTTCTTTCCCTTCCTTTCTTATTTTGATTTGAGTACTGAGCATCTGCCTGCTCTCCTTTATTCATTTTTCTCTTTCAGTAGAGGTAAAAATAAAAAGAATTTTACAGGATTATAGTATTGACTCTCCAGAAAAGCAAGAAGAAAAACAGGATTTTTTAATAAAGTATGGCCTTTTTTACGAAACTGACGAAGACACGTAAACTCCGTTAAAACAATGCGTGTGTTTACATGTAAATTCTTTTAACGAACTTTCATAGGTAAACAGTCGTGAGAAAAAGTTTATGTGTAAACACTGAGTGCACGCATAAACTGTCCTAAAATACACTCACACGTAATTAGACGTAATTTTTACAAAGTTTTACGTGTAAACCGCAGGAAATATATGTGCGTGCAAAAATGTGTGAGCTTTGTATATACTTTTAAGACAATCGAGGTGTGACACTGATTGTAACTTGCTAACTATTGTATTACGCTAATAAGTGGTTTATATTTGAGCTCAGTCTGAACACAAAACAGTTGTATGAAAAAGACACAGAACAGTAAAGACCAGCGAAACAAGCTTTTGAGATAACTATTCATTTATTAGAGTTAAAAAATTGTTTTCTTCCAGGTGTGTTTCAAGTAAAATTAGCACCATCATATGTTCGAGAACATTTAATACCATCAAAAACGTTTCCTCAAGATTATGAATTCATCGGGAATAGTGAAACATATAATACGTACATTGAATACAGTAACCATGCACCAAATCCGATTTTTGGGTGGTATTGTACGTGTATCTCGGGTGAACGAACTGTCGGCTGCTGTTGTCATGTTGTAGCACCTTTGTCTTAATGAGGGCGTTCCCCAAAACGCTATTACACCATCAAGCAACTTTATAAATGTTGTTGACGACGCTGCTCAGTTTTCGGACCACGAAAATTCATCCGACGAAGATGGTGATAAACCACTATATGAAATAGCCTCATAGAAGAAAGACTGTAATCACGATTAAACTAAAATCTATATTACATATAAAAAAACTTATTCCTACTCATTTCAGCCCTCCTCTGTTATACGGACGACGAAGATGTTGCAATATATTCTGACCCATTTTCTCGACACTGGTATCATCAGTGAAGATCTTTTGAGTAGCTCGGTTTGTAGAGAATTTCACGGGCTATCTAACGCTGTGTTTAGTTTGCCATTTCAGTGGAAGGTAGTTGAGAAAAATCTGTTGTACTGATCATATGGTGGCTTTTTAACGGTGCTTATTGAGATGCTATTGTTCAGGAATTAACCGGGTTTTACGTGACAAAAGTATCTGATTTTACCGAAAATAGAATAGAGGCACTTTTTTTACTACATATGGATCCATTTTTAGTCAAAAAAGAGAGTGGGCGATCCCCGACCTTATGCGGCCCCCTCCTTTTTCTTAATGCCTTTGATTAATGGCATAACTGTCCCAAATTGTTCTGAATTTGCCAGGACGTGATTTTCTATTATTGAAATTTTTGTTTGTAAATGTAACAAGGAACGTTCGATTGGTTTAAAACGAGCTTCTAACAACTTATCTATTTCAAAACAGATAGAAAACGACAAGCGAACATAGTGTTAATTGCGCTGCAAATTTCGACGCAAGACTCTTTCGAAAGCTCTCGAAATCGCTCTTATTTTTATCAATAACTTTTTTGCGCAGAATCGTTTTCTAAAACCCTCATATGCAGCAAATAAAGCAAAAAAAGGAGATTCAGTATAAGAATTATTGTGGGTGTACAATGTCAGAAGCAAAATCAATGCTCATCCTTTTACAAAAGAATAGTAAGGTATTCAGTATTTACCATTTAAAAATTCTTCACTTAATTGCTAATCATCATAGACTCAGCTGATGTCAAATCTAAATAGGTTACATGTTTAGATTTTTTCCAGTATTCCAATGTTTTTCATACTGATATAAGAATATTTACTATGTATGGTATGTGTCTCTTGCGGAGCAGAGAATCTGACCGTCAGATAATCTTATATGTTGAATATTCAGATTTGAATATACTTGAAGTATGGTCTGTCTTTCTTATGAAGCAGAGAGGCAGACAATCAGATAATCTTTTATGTCGAATATCCAGATTTGAATATTCTCGAAGTATGGTCTGTCGTCCTTATGAAGCAGAGGATCAGACAATCATATATGTTGAATATTCAGATTGGAATATTCTTGAAGTATGGTCTGTCTTTCTTATGAAGCAGAGAAGCAGACAATCAGATAATCTTTTATGTCAAATATTTGGATTTGAATATTCTCTAAGTATGGACAGTTTTGCTTATGAAGCAGAGAATCAGGCAATCAGATAATTTTATTTGCCAAATATCCAGATTTGAATATTCTCGAAGTATGGTCTGTCTTTCTTATGAAGTAGAGAAGCAGACAATCAGATAATCTTTTATGTCAAATATTTGGATTTGAATATTCTCTAAGTATGGGCAGTTTTGCTTATGAAGCAGAGGATCAGACAATCAGATAATCTTATATGTCGAGTATTCAGATTTGAATATACTTGAAGTATGGTCTGTCTTTCTTCTGAAGCAGAGAATCAGATAATCTTATATGTCGAATAGTCAGATTTGAATATTCTTTAGGTGTAGTATGTTAAGTATTGGTAACGAGTGGAAAATGAAGAATCTGAACTGAAATAGTGAAATAGTTCTACAGCGTTCATCTGAGGTCAGCTGGAAAAGGGAAAGTCAT